TTCCAGGCTTCAGTTTTGTCACTTTATCTATCTTGGCTAGTGATAAGGTAGCCCATGCCTTACTATAAAAGCTTGTTAAGACTTTCGCCTAACTCAGTTTATCACGAAGCCTATACAAATTGTAGGTTCTGATTTTGATGAGATAAACCTTGAAACTTCTTTTTCTGAGAGCCTTTTAGCTCTATGTTCTCCCCATTTTTTTAAACAAAATTAGACGCCGTTCAAAACTACCCGAACTCATGATACGACACATACCTGTTACAAAAGTACGGTGTAGTAGTAAATGTGCATTTTTGCCTCAAAGAGCCAATAAAAAGAAGAAACAAAAATGTCTGTGTAGGTCTACACTGTACCCTATTGGTCTTTGGGAATTCAACAGCAAGTGATACGGATTACAGAAAAATGCTCAAAGCCTCAAGCCGTCAGTTGAGGTGCTGTCCACTATCATCATCATCATCAGCCTGACTACGTCCACTGCAGGACAAAGGCCTCTCCCATGTTCCGCCAGTTAACTCGGTGCTGTGCTTGCTGCTGCCACTTTACACCCACAAACTTCTTAATCTCATCTGCCCACCTAACCTTCTGTCTCCCCCTAACTCTCATACCTTCTCTGGGAATCCAGTTAGTTACCCTTAACGACCAGCAATTGTCCTGTCTACGCACTACATGCCCAGCCCATGTCCATTTCCTCCTCTTGATTTCAACTATGATATGCTTAACCCCGTTTTGTTCCCTGATCCACTCTGCTCTCTTCTTGTCTCTTAAAGTTACACCTACCATTTTTCTTTCCATTGCTCGCTGCGTCATCCTATATTCAAGCTGAACCCTCTTTGTAAGTCTTCAGGTTTCTGCTCCATAGCTAAGTACCGGCAAGATACAGCTGTTATATACCTCCCTCTTGAGGGATAGTGGCAATCTACCTGTCATAATTTGAGAGTGCTTGCCAAATGTGATCCACCCCATTCTTATTCTTCCAGTTACTTCAATCTCTTGGTTTGGCTCCGCGGTTATTACCTGCACTAAGTAGACATAGTCTTTTACTACAAACTGGCGCTCAGCTTGACGACTTAACTCATCGCCGCAGAACTGCCCGCCTTTCGCTTCTCCACAAACTCTATCATCACCCATACTGCTGTATTGGGGGCTGGCTGGTCCCGACGAAGCAGAAGAAGAAGACGCCCGACGGAGACGTACGCGGCCGGCGGGGACACCGACCAGCCCGAACACGGGGGTTGGCGCGAAGAGCCGAAAGAAAGCACAACCACCGCACTCCACGGTTACCCAACCCACACTGTTTATTTTACAGTCGCCTTGAAATCCTAGATGCCAGAGCGGCGCCCCCTGGCATCCTCACATGTCAATCCGAAACCGAAACCCAGAACACAACACATACCTTCACCGCATTTTCGAAGCACCAACAGTCATCTTTCCATGCACAGACCATATCTTCAAGATAAAACGTATAACTTGTCGCTCAGCTCATTACGCTAATTCCTTCATTCCTTGAACAATAGTTGCATGGAATAACTTGCCATCCCACATTGCCACTCAAGCAGATTTCACAACATTTCACGAACTTTTACTCAACATTTCCGACTAGATATCCACCACGCGTACTTTCATTAGGCTTCTTCATATGTACATCAGTGTTTAATTTTCTTGTTATCATGTGTTAATGTTTTTCACGACCATTGTACACACTTGATTTGTATTATTTATGCGTTAATTGCGAACTTTTGTATCTCAAAATCATGCCATCGTTTGAGCTTTTTTTCCTTGCATACTGTATTTGTTAGTGTCCTTAATTTATGTTTCCAGTATTCAATATTCTATCTCTACCTATTTTTCGTTTTTTCATAGTATCTGATTTTTGTTGTTGTTGCTTTTTGTATTTAGCTCGCTTTCATTATTTTGTATAATCTCGTTTTTAGATTCCATAAGCATACAAAGATTTGTTTCATGTCTCCGTTCCCCTATGTAATACCCCTTCGGGGGCCTTTAGGGGTATTATGAAATAAAAATAAATAAACAACTTGAAGTGCACTATTACCTATCTCGAAGCACTGCTCTCTTCCGAGGTTGTTGTGCATTACTTTCGTTTTCTGCAGAATAATTCTAAGACTCCCCTTTCTGCTCTCCTTGTCTAATTCTTTAATCATGAGTTGTAATTAGTCCCCTGAGTTACTCAGCAATGAAATATCATCGGCGAAGCGCAGGTTACTAAGGTATTCTCTATTAACTCTTATCCCTAACTGTTCCCATTCTAGGCCTCTGAAAACCTCCTGTAAGCACGCGGTAAATAGCATGGAGGAGATTGTATCCCCCTGCCTTACACCCTTCTTGATTGTTATTTTGTTGCCTTCTTTGTGGGTCCGGCAGCACGCTAACGATGGCCCGTGCTAACGTTCCTCGCTTCTTCCTGGTGCAGTTTCTCGGACTCTGGAGTTTGCAGCTACTGGAGTCTTCCGGCCCCCGTACCCCGTTCCCACCATCTGCTGTTAGGCCATGGCCGAACGCGACGCCTCTGCTGCCCGAGGATCATGCGGTGGGACTGTTCTGGTCCTCAAATCAACCTGTCTTCGGAGCATCCCGGTCTGCGCACTTCGTGCCCGGCCGTCGACCGTATCAACAAGCGTCGTGGCTTTCAGTCGGCCATTTGAACACCGGAACCTCCGCTGCACATTCCACGCATGCGTGGGATTTGGTTAAAAAGCAAGCTCAGAGCAACACTCCTTTCAGTGGGTCCGGCAGCACGCTAACGATGGCCCGTGCTAACGTTCCTCGCTTCTTCCTGGTGCAGTTTCTCGGACTCTGGAGTTTGCAGCTACTGGAGCCTTCCGGCCCCCGTACCCCGTTCTCACCATCTGCTGTTAGGCCATGGCCGAACGCGACGCCTCTGCTGCCCGAGGATCATGCGGTGGGACTAATCTGGTCCTCAAATCAACCTGTCTTCGGAGCATCCCGGTCTGCGCACTTCGTGCCCGGCCGTCGACCGTATCAACAAGCATCGTGGCTTTCAGTCGGCCATTTGAACACCGGAACCTCCCCTGCACATTCCACGCATGCGTGGGATTTGGTTAAAAAGCAAGCTCAGAGCAACACTCCTTTCAGTGGGTCCGGCAGCACGCTAACGATGGCCCGTGCTAACGTTCCTCGCTTCTTCCTGGTGCAGTTTCTCGGACTCTGGAGTTTGCAGCTACTGGAGCCTTCCGGCCCCCGTACCCCGTTCCCACCATCTGCTGTTAGGCCATGGCCGAACGCGATGCCTCTGCTGCCCGAGGACCATGCGGTGGGACTGTTCTGGTACTCAAATCAACCTGTCTTCGGAGCATCCCGGTCTGCGCACTTCGTGCTCGGCCGTCAACCGTATCAACAAGCATCGTGGCTTTCAGTCGGCCATTCGAACACCGGAACCTCCCCTGCACATTCCACGCATGCGTGGGATTTGGTTAAAAAGCAAGCTCAGAGCAACACTCCTTTCAGTGGGTCCGGCAGCACGCTAACAATGGCCCGTGCTAACGTTCCTCGCTTCTTCCTGGTGCAGTTTCTCGGACTCTGGAGTTTGCAGCTACTGGAGCCTTCCGGCCCCCGTACCCCGTTCCCACCATCTGCTGTTAGGCCATGGCCGAACGCGACGCCTCTGCTGCCCGAGGATCATGCGGTGGGACTGTTCTGGTCCTCAAATCAAACTGTCTTCGGAGCATCCCGGTCTGCGCACTTCGTGCCCGGCCGTCGACCGTATCAACAAGCATCGTGGTTTTCAGTCGGCCATTTGAACACCGGAACCTCCCCTGCACATTCCACGCATGCGTGGGATTTGGTTAAAAAGCAAGCTCAGAGCAACACTCCTTTCAGTGGGTCCAGCACGCTAACGATGGCCCGTGCTAACGTTCCTCGCTTCTTCCTGGTGCAGTTTCTCGGACTCTGGAGTTTGCAGCTACTGGAGCCTTCCGGCCCCCATACCCCGTTCCCACCATCTGCTGTTAGGCCATGGCCGAACGCGACGCCTCTGCTGCCCGAGGATCATGCAGTGGGACTGTTCTGGTCCTCAAATCAACCTGTCTTCGGAGCATCCCGGTCTGCGCACTTCGTGCCCGGCCGTCAACCATATCAACAAGCATCGTGGCTTTCAGTCGGCCATTCGAACACCGGAACCTCCCCTGCACATTCCACGCATGCGTGGGATTTGGTTAAAAAGCAAGCTCAGAGCAACACTCCTTTCAGTGGGTCCGGCAGCACGCTAACGATGGCCCGTGCTAACGTTCCTCGCTTCTTCCTGGTGCAGTTTCTCGGACTCTGGAGTTTGCAGCTACTGGAGCCTTCCGGCCCCCATACCCCGTCCCCACCATCTGCTGTTAGGCCATGGCCGAACGCGACGCCTCTGCTGCCCGAGGATCATGCAGTGGGATTGTTCTGGTCCTCAAATCAACCTGTCTTCGGAGCATCCCGGTATGCGCACTTCGTGCCCGGCCGTCGACCGTATAAACAAGCATCGTGGCTTTCAGTCGCCCATTCGAACACCGGAACCTCCCCTGCACATTCCACGCATGCGTGGGATTTGGTTAAAAAGCAAGCTCAGAGCAACACTCCTTTCAGTGGGTCCGGCAGCACGCTAATGATGGCCCGTGCTAACGTCCCTAGCAAAAATTCTGATAGAAAAACTGATAGGCTATCAGGTTGTTGACAGTTGTATCAGTCTATAAATGTATCAGTCTATGGGTGTATCAGTCTATGGGTGTATCAGTCTATGGGTGTATCAGTATATCAGTGTACCAGTCTATCAGTGCACCAGTCTATCAGTGTACCAGTACTCGTGTGCCAGCCTAGAAGTGTAGCATTCTACCCTGATCGGCCCACAAGCGAATCGGTGCTTAGCCAACTGGCAGGGGCACCGCTACATCAGAGCAAGCAGGACACAAATATGAACACAAAAATCAAACAAAATATTTTATTTGATGTGCCGTTCCTTGGTTAATCTTTTGATTTCATAAAGTCATTAATTTTGTTTGCCAAAGCTTTATTGAGGAGCTTCTTCATTTGCTCAACCTCTCCAATCAGAACGGTGTGCTTCAAAAAAATGGTTGAAGAAATCTGCATGATCAAAAGCAAAGCAAGTTACAGGCACTTATTAAGCGACAATTATGTGCACTCTAAACAGAGGAGTCATTATGACAAGGAAATAAGTAGGAGTTATATTAGAGAGGCAGACTACCAGTCTGCCTCTCTAATATTGTTTAAAATTAGTTTGTGGATTCTTGCATAAAAGCACCCAGCTCCAGTGGGCAAAAGCTACACTTGAAGCTTTGGTAAGTAATTATAACACAAGTTGGCAGTGAAACCTCGGCTGATTACATGCGAAAACGGAGCCACCAACTTCCATGAATTTTGGTCAGATTGCAAAATTTCACCTACCTGAAAACACGGCATATGTTTCTTTCTCCTAGGGAGATTTCGCCTCCCCTTCAGACCGATTCGAGGCTGGGCCAGTAACACTTCTACCGACTTGGCCTGCTGTATAAAAAATGGCAACGGCCGCCTCACGAACAAAACGGGTCTGTCTTTTCATGCCCATGGGGTGATTGTACAACCTCTTGGGAACGGCAATTCCTTTGCTCCGATGCACCTATAAAACAAGTCAAAGATGATGTGCACACATTAGTTTGTCAATGCACATTTTCTCATTAAAGCAAAGCAATATATCTTCAAGACAAAGCATACTAAAGTTTTATGATACCTCTCTGTCAGTGGGCACATAATTGATAAGTGGTACAGCCTCCATCTCACTTGAGTGGGCTACTTCAGGGCTGTCCGTGGTGGCTGTGGTGGTTCCAGCGTCGCAGCACATAGTGGTGGCAAAGGTGCAAGTCGTTTCTGTTTTTGAGGCTTGCGGCTGCAACACCCGCAAAGGACAAGGTTCCTTGCTACAATGAAAAGGTAGAGTGTGCAGAAATAAAGTATATTGCACCCTTAATTGTCGCGGTACCATTCTAGGTGTGCATGGTCAAATAATATATATGATAAACATAGCATGCAGTTGAGATATGCAATTAAAGTGTAATGATACGTTGCATGTCACGTCTCAAAACCACGGTGTGATTATAGGGGATGCCGTAGTGGAGGGCTCAGGAAATTTTGACCAAGTGGCGTTCTTTTTAATATCCACTACACTGTGAAAGTTGTAAAAGAACATTTTCAAGTGATTAGAAAAACATGCATGCATCCATGCCACCCATGAGCTTACATATCATTCTGCTTTTCAGCAAAATTGCACGCTATAAGAATAGAGCAACTTGCTGCTGCATACAACCCTAGCAGCAGTGCGTTACAACAGCTTATGAAGAAATGATAAACCTGTTTGGAAATTTTTGCTGCGAAGGGCATTTTCAAGTAGGCTTATTCTTTCTAATGCTTTTGTATTTTGAGCCCTGAGCATATATATTCACTTCTTTCTGAAGCTCTTTCTCTGTTGCCCCGCCGCGGTGGTCTAGTGGCTAAGGTACTCGGCTGCTGACCCGCAGGGCGCGGGTTCGAATCCCGGCTGCGGCGGCTGCATTTCCGATGGAGGCGGAAATGTTGTAGGCCCGTGTACTCAGATTTGGGTGCACGTTAAAGAACCCCAGGTGGTCAAAATTTCCGGAGCCCTCCACTACGGCGTCTCTCATAATCATATAGTGGTTTTGGGACGTTAAACCCCACATATCAATCAAATCTTTCTCTGTTCTTTTTTTCAGCATTAGCAAACAGCAGGCCTCCCTGCTGCTTCTTAAAACGGTTGCTGACATGCTTTGTCTTCTGCTTAACAGCAGCTTGACGTCGTGTTTCTTACAACTGCAGACAACCCAACACACAAATTTCACTGCTAGTTTGCAAGCACAGACAGGGCGTATATTTGCACAAGCAAAAATAATTTTAAACCAGTCAATGGTACAAAAAAATGTGACTAAGCTGCGCTCATACCACGATAGAATAAAACAGCGCTTAAGCATACTGCAACTTTACTAACACCTTCAATACGACGTTCCGGCACCTGCGCAGTAGTGGAGCAGCAATACTCTGATATATTTGCTAAGGGGGCGGGGAGTATATCAGAGCATTGCTGCTTCATGTGTGACACGGCACCAGTTGCACAGCAAAATTGGCTGTCGATTGTAAATGCGCCACAGTAGCACATCAGCCGCAATGTCAATAGCCAAACTTCGCTGTCGGTAATAATTACGCTACAAGTAGCATATCAGCTGCAGTGTCACCAATTTCAACTTACTTTTTTAAACGACTCATTGTCCACTTCATTTGAAGTGCAGCTATCGGAGGAGTCTCGACCGGGTCTGCGAAATGGATGGTCGTTTTTCTGTTGCATTCCTTGCATCATCCTCGGTACCTAAGAAAATATGACCAGTAAATAACTTCAGAACGACTGCTTCTTACTCTTTGTTTTCGTATTGGGAATACAAGAGGCGCGGACTTACCGTAAAGCTTAATCACTTGAGCGTGATAGTGGCCGCAGTGTGTGTTATCCTTCCAGAACACCCGGTACCACTTGTGAGGATCAAAATTGCCTGTATATTTCAGATTGATGTACTTACATGCACTTACCGGGACTAATACTTTTTAATTATCATCGCGAAACCAAACATCTTGGAGAATTGCGAGTGTACAGGCGCGATACTGAGCAATTAAGAGACGCAACAATGTTCACATAGCGTGTACTAGAACTTTTGAGGGGCGCGACCGAAACACTCTCCCCTTGCTTTCTCCATCCCCAACTTGCGGCGAAAGTAGCGGCGGCGCTGCCATCGCCCAATCTTCCCACTTGGTTTACTCGGCTGGCTCGGCGGCATGGCCGGCATCTCGGTTTTAGTCGCGAAATGACGAAGAAGCAGCGTCTAAATCATTGTTATGCGCCAGGTTGCACAACTGGATATCCGCGTGTGCGACAAAGTCGGAAGTTTTCGCTTTTTAAGGCCCCGAAAGACGAAGAACGACGACTTTTTTGGGAGCGGAACCTCCATCGGCTTGACAAGCCGCTTGACGCCGATTGTGGTGTGTGCGAGTTACATTTCGAACCGCATTTCATTGTGAGAGACTACGTACATGTAATCAATGGTGTTCAAGTCCGAATTCCTAGGGGAACGCCGACCCTTGCACCCGATGCAGTCCCGACGATCTTGCCCAACCTGCCTGCATATTTGACGCTCAAAACTCCGGCTCCGTAGACCCAAACAAAGCGGCGGCATCAGTGTGTGCCGGCTGAGAATGGCAACAGAAAACGGCGACGCATTAGCACTCCTGCACAGCTCCTTGTGGATACCAACGGTGCAACTTCTTCAGATGGCGACGAAGCTGACGAGGCAAGCTCAAGTCCCTCGTCTGACGCGTTTGTCACTCTCGGTGATCTTCGTGGTCTTGTCCTACCATCAAAGTCATGGGCGCTGCACGAGTTTCCTAGATTTGCCGGCGTGTCGTACGTAGCGTGCTCACTGAATCCTAGCACTCGTGAACTTTGCATTCAACGAGCCGTATACTTCACCTGTGCAGACAATGGAAGCGTGCAATGTGAAGCGTTCGTGCAAGAGAAACTAATCAGCAAGTCCAGTTTAGTAACTGTTCGAGAAGCCTCAGATGCTCTGCAGCTTGTTGCAAGCATCCCACTCTGTTGTGGAGCAGCAGAAACTTCATTTTTGCCACCATCGGACCTTACCCACGGTCTATACGCGCAAATGAAGTCAAGAGGAGAAATCTTCTACAGTGTCAAAAGCGCACAGCAGCAATTAAAATTGAGTAGGCTAATAATTGCTACAGTGGCGTAAAAAAGGATGTCATTTTTCGTGCATATTTTTTTACACTCTTAATTTTTTGGCGGTGCACCAAGAAGAAAAACAGTTTTTCTTAGAAGAGGCTTGTAAGCGAGAGAACGTGCAAATAATGACGCGAAATCTCAAAATAAATCTTTTATCTTGAATCTTTTTGTATCTAACCTGTGATGGTAAATTTAGCAGCATTAGGGATCTCGGTGCATAATTCACCGATCTAAACCAATTCATTGTTGCGCTTCAGCGTCCCTTCAAACGATCTTTCGACCATAACATCTTTTTTTATTTAAATGCATTTTGGAAAGACAACCTGAACTCTGTCGTTCTGTTTGCTTTGTTTTATGTGATCTTTTGTATCCTGGCTCTATATTTTACGTTTTTTTACAATTTACCTGATTGCAAATGTATTGTTTTATAAATATGTAGACCTTGCATTTTTATGTTATCAATTATGATGATCATTAGTTACGGCTCTGCTTTGCAGTGTTGTTGCATTTTTAAACTCTCAAAATCTTCCAGTACTATGTTTCATTTAAGACATTCTTGTGCAGTATTACGTATTTGCATTTCTGTGGGTCCTACAACAATGAATCTGTTCTCATATTTCAAAACCAAAGGAAGGTTTGGAAAAATTCTGCCGTTCTTCAATCAATATCAATAAAGTCTACTTTTTTGTCGTGTGCACAGGCAGCCACAAGCAACGAGCCTTTTATTTGAGTCTGCAGCTTTGGTGTTTTACGTGGAATGGACCAAGAGTTCTTCGTTTTGTGTGCAGCATATTCCTTTTTTTTTGGGGGGGGGGGGCGCTTCCGGCCAGCTGGTTGCTCGTCTAAAATGTGTACACTTTAAAGATTAAAAAAAGAACGCACTCGTTATATCGTACAATGTGCTATGCTGCTTCGGGCTGCAGTGTGGTCAGCAGCAACTTCAATAACAATAATGTCAAATAACCTTTATTTGCGCGAAAAAGGGGAAATATGTGAATAAGAAAAAAAATAGGGAGATCATCTTCACACTAGGCGCGACGGAGAGGTACCAACAGGTACGCGGAACGCCTGCCAGCCATCCGCCCGGGAAGATTGGTCGACGCGAGCGCCACCGCATCATTCCACGCCGAAATGGCCGCTCCCAAGCAGCCACTCGCGCCACTCAAAAGCTTCTAGTACACTCTAGTTCACATGCACTACACACGCACCAAGGCCGCCACGAACTTGCTATTGATGACGATGGCAGTGCCATTGCTGGATCTCCCAAGTAGTTTATGCAACCACGAGTCCACGACTTCTTCCTCAACACAAAAACGCAATTTAGTTTTTGAAAACAAAAATATTTATTTGCAAAACATTTATTTCATGTTTTTACAACCTTAGAGGGTAGTTTTTTTAGAGCTCACAGCAAATAATATATAAACAATGAATGCAATTACTGTAAAATGGTGACGCTGTGCATAGCCTTCGAGATGGCAAACGCGCAATGACGGGCGCGCAGCGGCAAATTTAGAGGTCATGCGCTGTGTCGCCATATTCGCGTTGGTTAGGCTAGGTGGCGTTAGCCGCCGCCCAATTTAAAGGGTACAGTCATATCAATCCATTCATCCACTTATCTATCAAATTAATATGGCTACAATCATCTAGCCATA